ATTCTGACATAATAAACTTCTGTAATACTGCTCAGATCGTGTGTGAATTAGTGCCCTGTGGTTGCTGGACACTGGTTGGTACGTACAGTGTTTCAGTTGGTAGAAATGGGCCAAAAGTGATGCTGTGATTTACGCATGGAGCCTGTGATATGTGAGCAGCTTCCATAGCCTGGTCACAGTTACAGACCAAACCTTAAACCTGCGTCTAATTTATTATATTACTGGGACTTGACAGCAGGGCCAGTTGCCAAAACTTTTGCAGTTGCCGTTAGACTGCAAAGGCTGAGCTTGATGGAAGTAAAATGTGCAGATCCTCAATTCTCAGGTCAACTGGCTTGTAGGAAATAAGGTTAAAGGCTGAATTTTGCGTATCTCCATTGTCTCTATGATCCTGTGGCTGTGACCAAATTGCTGAGAAATGGCATAGCCTCATTAGTGCTTTGAGACACAAAGAAAACTTTTGTACTGAAGAAAAAAGTTGCATATGATGTAATCTCCCCTCTAGGTGATGTGTCGCCTGTGGACTAGGTTATCAGTTTCTCAATGAATTTCTTGTCTTATTTGACAATTTGGGTGTATTAGCAGGGGAGAATCATCTGTCATTTATACAGAAAGTATGAACGGTGAGATTTGTCTGTTGATTTCATTTTGGGGCACGCTTCCTGTGGGTTCAAGCATTGAGCTAGTGATTTCTCTGGTGTTTTGGTTTTCATTTAAGTACATGTTTTGGAACCTTAGCACTATCAAGCAGCATGTCAACTATAACTTGAAGTATTGTCTTCATGCTTTTGCATTTGTTGCTGGTTATGGTTACTATTTGACAAACCTTGGAAGACTCTGTCCTTGTGCCATTAGTTGTAATTCTACAACGAAAGCAAAACTCGGGGCTGTTGTATTGCTCAGCTCATTCCATGTAAGCACTAAGGAGCAGCAGCAGTATAGTTAGAGGTGGGAGAGCCTGTTTCTTCCCTGCAGTCATCTATTACAACCTCCTTAACTGGTTTTCTTCTGTTATGGAACTCTGTCTTAAATACCCTATTCCACAGAGGTTTTGCATAGTGTTTGCTGTAGCATTTTCTTGAAATGTGACCCCTTCGAATCTCTTACAGGCAGCTCTATTATGTATTTCTAATGATGTTGAGAATTCTTTTTCTTATGTTGCTCATACCTAATTTTGCTTGTAGTGATTTTCATTGATGTACCCAGAATTGAAGAGTGGCTTTAGGCTCTAGTGGCCAAAACCCATCAAATAAAAAAAAAAAAAAAAATACCTTCAGTAAATGGCCAGCAAGAAGTTTAGTTCTGACATACTTCTAAAACTGAAGTAAACACCCAGAAGAGACTAGAAAGAGAGTAGTAGTTTTGCCAGTTTTCTGGAAGTTAGAGCTTTTTAAGACTCGCAGCCGAGGCATTTGAGCTTTTTCCTCTTCTGTTTGAATTCTTCTCATGTGTTTATCTGTCATGGCAATGCATTTCAACTGTGGTGTCTGAAGTCTAGCTGCTTTTAGGAGCATCTGAGAATGTTGGCTTGGCTAGATGGAAGAAAGTGCTGTTTTAAACCTTTAACTGGTAGAATTAGATGTACAGTGAAAAGGAGCTGTGGCTTCTTGCACTTTAGCTCTTGCACTTAAAGTGAACCTCACTAGTTCACAAACTGATGCCTGAAGGGTCTGTTCAAACTTGGAAACTTTTCTTAAGATAAGAAAACCCCAAAATAAATTGCCCTTTGGCTGTTTTCTATAGGAAACAAAAATAAAAGCGAAATAAAAAATGTCTGTACTGAATCAAATTCTTTGGGGAAAAAAAAAGAAGGGATGTGGTTTGGTGATACGGATTTGGAAGACAATAAATTGTATTTGTCTTTTTTTTCTCACTTCTATTCAATATGTATTTTCTCTGCTTGGTTGTTGCTGGGAAAGAATGGTTCAACAAGTTCCAGAAAACATAAACTTTCCAAACGAGGAAGAGAAGATACTGGAGCTGTGGAAAAATCTTAATTGTTTCAAGGAATGCCTAAAGCAATCAAAGAACAGACCTAGGTAAGAATCTGTTAGAAGCTGTCGCAGCTGTGTGTGACAGTGCAAGGTTGGCGTAGTTGGTTTTTTATTACCTCAGTTCTGTTAACAACAGCTGCTCCCTTTGCAGATAGTCTTGGCTAATGCTGCTGCTGTGTCAGTTACCATTTATGTTTCACTTTGTGAAGTATCAACAGTTTTCAAGAAGTAGTAATAAAATGGTAATTTGCTGTTTGGTGGGTTTGCAAGAGAAATCTGCAGGGGCAACTCTTTCCTGTGTCTGCCAGTTGTGGAGCAGCACAGTGTCAGATTTCAGCAGTAATGTTGGTAGAACTGGCAATTAGAAGGAACTCAATGAGTTGAAATGTTCTCTTTAGTCCCACAGCCAATGTAGTACCTGTGCTGACTGATAACAGAAGAGGAAGAAATTAATGACTAGTAAGATGCAAGAAGCATAAGCATACAGGTATCCTGTTTGAAGATTTGATGCTCAGTTTTTTATTTAATGTTGTCTTGTATTGTAGATTTAACTTCTACGATGGGCCTCCATTTGCTACTGGGCTTCCACACTATGGCCATATTCTTGCAGGAACCATTAAAGACATAGTGACCAGATTTGCTCATCAGAGTGGTTTTCATGTTGACAGAAGATTTGGCTGGGATTGCCATGGTTTACCTGTGGTATGTGTGATAAATCTCCTTGCAGATATTTCTGTTGGTTCCTGTTTGCATGCTGTTACCTGCTTGTCAGTCACATTTGTATTGCTTTTGTGCCTGGCTTTGTTGCTAAAAAAGAAATGGAAGTTCTTTGTCCAGTGTGTTGCTCTGGCTTTTGCATGTGTGGTGATGTCTACATGTGTGTGCTTCCTACTAGTCACCTGCCCTTCTCCAGTCATTGTTCATGCCTATAAACATCTATTTATTTGGTATGTATTTAATTTTTCTAAAGATAGAAAAGAAGCAATCACACTAGTGTTATCCTTGGAAATACCTGCTTAGTTCAGGTGCAATACATATGAAATCTCAAAAGGATAAAGGAGACCCTTTAGCCTCATTAGAATGCACAAAACATGAATAAACTATCCATGGAAATCCTGAAAGCTTTTGATGACAGCATGTTGAGTTTTTTTTGTCTTGTTTTCAATGCTCCCAGGAATATGAGATTGACAAGACCTTAGGTATTAAAGGGCCAGAGGATGTGGCAAAAATGGGGATTGAAGAATACAACAATCAGTGCAGAGGAATTGTGATGAGATACTCAAAGGAATGGGAGGTAAGTAAAGACTTGGTGAATATTGTGCTGTATGTTTCTAATTGTGCAGAAGATTTTCAGCTGGGGTGAGCTTCATTCTTCTGTCTGTTTGATTACTTGCATAAATCTTATGCTTTTAGCTTCTGTGTTTCTAACTGGTAATCCTAAAAAGGGTACATCACAGGCTCAGAACAGCGAGACTGCTGTGATATCCAGACAAGGCTACTTTGAGGTAACCTGGAGCTCAGAATGTGTACCTAGATATTGAACATCCAGGAGATACCTTGAACAAGTTATTTCTTTCTTTGCATCTTCTCTGTTTAGAAAATTGAAAGTAAGATCTGAATTTGGTTTTCAGATGAAACTCATAAAGAAAATGCATGTTAACCTCCAGGCTTTCTGCCTCCCTTCAGTCTTGTAATTGCCAAAGCGTAGAACTATAGCTTGGATTTTTGGAACAGCAGAAGTTTCAGCCCTCAGTCTTCCAAGAAAATATTGATCCAAACCTTGTATCCCATGAATATAGTGACAAGGAGAACATTTCTCTGTGCAGACTCTTGAGGATGAAGAGCTGTTCCAAGTAGATGGGTTAGATATTTTCTTGAGAGGCACAGGTTTGTTTTTCCTAAGCCTGAATAATATTAGTGTTATACATGGAACCTGATGCTTCTTAAGTTTGGTCTTAGCACTGTGACCAGAATAAAGTACATTTAGCCCAGTAGTTTGTTTACTGTCATCCTAATATGTCTGTGAAGTGAAAGATGACTCTTCTCTATGGCTTTCTGGAGCTGAGGAGTGGCTCAGGTGCTTTCCCAGCTGTGGCACTATATTACAGTGACAGCATGCAATAGCAAGTGCCAAAGGAAGAGTGGAAGAACAGGCTGTATCTTTCATCTGTACCCTGAAATTCTGTATTTCAAAAACATTATCATTCTTTGTTGCTTTTTTTAAATAAAAATAAAAAGATAACAGTGCCTGGCTCGTTTTGTTTTCCACAGTTGTTCCTTTTATGTTGCTGTGTCTTCAGCAACTGGTATTTTTGCAGTGCTGATTAGTCCAAATACTTAAGTCTTTTGGATGGTAAATGGATTTGTATTTTGGTATGTGCATAAACTTGTGCATGTATGTGTGTGTATTTTTACAAACATTTTTAGATTATTAATAAAAATAATGAAATTTGTTTAAGTATCTTGTTTGTGATTTGGCTGGTAATAAATTCAGGTATTTTGGGATAGTGTTAGGAGAGGAATTCCCAACATTCTTATTGGAGGTACTATTTATTTTCTGTCTGGAGTGGCTAATAATGTTTGAAGCTCATGAAAAACATGAAAGGTTCCTCGGATGTGTAAGATCTTTCAATGGATCAACTTCGTGGATCCTTCTACTAATCAGTCCTAGGCTTTGGATCTTAATGGTGGAATATCAGAGTGGCTTAACAGTCAGAATCAGAACTGATGTATTTCAGGTGTTATGTGAAAATAAAGAGGTGAGAGACTTCATTTGCTTTGTTTTCACTTTACTGGTTTGATATTGAGCATGGTCTGTGTCTAACAGTATCAGGACAGGTGTCTATGATTATTTGCAGAGCTGGGGGTTCTGATAGCTGTGGAATTAGCAAGAGAGTACCACTTGTCCAAGTGAGTCCCATAGCTAGCTTATTACTCACTAGTTTTCATACTCTGTGCCAACAGACATGACCATAATCTGTCCCGAGTCAGGACTAACACCTGTCAGTCTTGTGGTTGTTGGCAGCCCTGTCGTAGCTTTGGGCAGTTGGCCCGGAATAAGTTTCGATAACTTCTTGTGTACAGCAATTTCTTTCAGCATTTCTTTCTCTTTGGATTATATCATGTTTTCATATAACTGAAAGCTGATAGACTGTGTGGTCTGGATTTTGACTGTCCCTGCAATGTGTAGTTTTAAAAATAGAAGCAAGACTGCTGTAATCAAAAGCAGTTTTCAGGCACTTGAACCTCAGCTGAACCTTGAATGATCCACCATTTCTGTTTGAATGATTCAAACAATCCACCATTTCTCTTCAGTAGCCTTGAATATATTTGCCTGTTGTTACCTTGTTTCTAAGCAATTAAGTTCATGGTTTCGTTGTTGCTTACTTCATTCATTTCCATTTTAAATACACTCTTTGTTACTACTGCCTGACTGAAATATTTCATAGATGTGTTTCATTGGTATGGGACAAACACTACAGTTAATCAAGCTGTTTCACAGATAAGTATTGAAAGGCATCTTAAAGATCATGATAGATTTCCAATTTGTGTGTTTGTTTCTTAACAGTTCAGTGTTACCAGATTAGGACGCTGGATTGATTTTGAAAATGACTATAAAACTCTTTATCCCGAGTTCATGGAGTCTGTGTGGTAAGTTAACTTACATTGCATATATGCTTTATAAATTTGAAATGTTAGGAAGGCTTCAAAGATGTGTTGGTCCATATATCACTGGAACTTTGAAACATGCCAAGTTCAGGTAAACAGTGGACAGAGTAATTAAGGTGATGTGAAATCTCTTTATGTTGAAATGACAGAAATAATTGACCTGCTTTTTTTCTTCAAGATAGCAGGGTTCTTCACAATAAAATACAACAGTACTGCTTCTACTGACCCATGAAATCTTACTGATCTGTGTCAGCTTAAAAGCAGTTCTGAAGATCTACTAATATGTTCCTCGCTTGCCTTAGGAAATTATGTTGTATTTCTGCATTCTTGATGTTCTTCACACTGTCAGCTGCAATTGCCAAACTATCCAAACTCACTTGAGCACTAAACCTCTCCTTCAAGCCTGAATTTAGAGACTGGGAATCTGCTGTTATCTTTTTCTTGGCAGCATAGTTTGATCACTGTCTTAGGCTCCTGGTGCAGAGCTAAGTAAAGTTTGGGTATTTTGGCAATATACTTAGGGTGACTGTTGGAATTCCAAAAGACAAGACTTACAGATTAAGGCTAATCAAATTGACCTAACACTGAAGCAATGGTGACATTGAGTCATTCAGGTGATAGAATTACAAAATGATTTGCAGGGAAAGGTTTGGTAGAGCATATGCTGACAAAAAGCCTTTGAAAAGCAAATTATGTGCATATTAAAGTATTATCAATGTACTTTAATATTAGTTTTATTAATAACCTGTGATTGTATAGTTAGTTACATATAGTTACGGTAAAGGATTTACAGAACTTCTAGAAGTCTGTGAAGCTGCTGTCAAGGGCTGAAATGCCAGTGAGTTTTCAGTGAACATTGAAAAGACTGTGAAAAGGGAGCAGATGTTTAAGTTAGCCAAAGAAACCGTGCATAGCTAAGCTGTAAAGCTAAGACTGACAAGAAACGTTTTTTAAAAGTTATAAAAATCCTTAGTTGCACCTTAAATTCTAGCTAAATTAACTAGCATCTTCCAAGGATGATTTAAAAACCAAACTTGACTTGAACTAGCTGCAGGGTCTTTCTCAACAGCCCAAGCCTTTTGTGGTTGGTTGGTGTGTTTTTTCTCCCTTTGAAAGAAAATCTCAGTCTTTCATCTGGCTTCTAGCCATTACCTCCTCTGATGCTTGCTCTGGATACAGACTCTAAAATATAAATTTTGGATCTGAAATCTCTGTGGTATGAGATTTTAGGAAATATGTAGGCAGACAACTTCTTAATCTTGTAGTTTTTTGCTTCCTGATCCTATTACTTTTCTGTGATGAGATATGTTTTTAAAACCTGTGTTTTCTGGAAAGTCATCTGAGTCTCAAAGGCCACATTACAGTGCTGTTGCCAGCTTGCTCTCTAGTAGAACAGGAGGTGGAACCACCTGTGTTCGCATGGAATGGATGGAGGAGGGAAATTGGAAAGGAGTGTGGCATGCAGGTTTCAAGGCTAAGGGAGCTAATGCTTAAAAGGAGCACTGTAACTGGAGTTAGTGCTTTTGACAGGGTAATGTACAATTAAAAACACAGATTGTTACCTAAGCAATTCTAGTGCACCTCCCATACAAAGACAAGCTGAGAAAACTGGGGCTGTTCAGCCTGGAGAAGCTGTGTGGAGACCTCGGAGCAGGTTCCAGTGTCTTAAGGGGGCCTATAAGGGTGCTGGAGAGGGACTCTTCATCAGGGACTGTAGAGATAGGATAAGGGGTGATGGGTTTAAACTTAAATGGGAGATTCAGGTTGGGTACAAGGAAGAAGTTCTTTACTGCAAGGGTGGTGAGGCACTGGCACAAGCTGCCCAAAGCAGTGGTAGATGCTCCATTCCTGGCAGTGTTCAAGGCCCGGTTGGATGGAGTTTTGGGTGATGTGGTCTACTGGGAGGTGTCCCTGCCCATTGGCAGGGGATTGGAACTGGATGATGTGAAGGTCCTTTCCAACCCAAACCATTCTATGTTTTGATTTTTTTTAATGGTTCCTTTTTAAATATAAGCAAATGAAAAAAACCTCTTCCAGAACTTTAGTGTCCAACTAAGTATGAAAGAGAAACTGCAGATTGATTTCTGCACTGACTGTAACCTAGTGACAATACTTGGCCCATCCAGTGGTTTTGTCGTTTTGTTCTGCCTGTGGGAGTAGAATGCTGCTGTTAGTCCCAGGAAGAAGTAATTGATGATAATAATGGTAGTGAGTGCAGCAACCATGGATTTTGTAGTGAAAATATGGTAAGGATTTTTTCTTTAGTCTTTTAATTCATGCAGGTTTCAAGGCTAAGGGAGCTAATGCTTAAAAGGAGCACTGTAACTGGAGTTAGTGCTTTTGACAGGGTAATGTACAATTAAAAACACAGATTGTTACCTAAGCAATTCTAGTGCACCTCCCATACAAAGACAAGCTGAGAAAACTGGGGCTGTTCAGCCTGGAGAAGCTGTGTGGAGACCTCGGAGCAGGTTCCAGTGTCTTAAGGGGGCCTATAAGGGTGCTGGAGAGGGACTCTTCATCAGGGACTGTAGAGATAGGATAAGGGGTGATGGGTTTAAACTTAAATGGGAGATTCAGGTTGGGTACAAGGAAGAAGTTCTTTACTGCAAGGGTGGTGAGGCACTGGCACAAGCTGCCCAAAGCAGTGGTAGATGCTCCATTCCTGGCAGTGTTCAAGGCCCGGTTGGATGGAGTTTTGGGTGATGTGGTCTACTGGGAGGTGTCCCTGCCCATTGGCAGGGGATTGGAACTGGATGATGTGAAGGTCCTTTCCAACCCAAACCATTCTATGTTTTGATTTTTTTTAATGGTTCCTTTTTAAATATAAGCAAATGAAAAAAACCTCTTCCAGAACTTTAGTGTCCAACTAAGTATGAAAGAGAAACTGCAGATTGATTTCTGCACTGACTGTAACCTAGTGACAATACTTGGCCCATCCAGTGGTTTTGTCGTTTTGTTCTGCCTGTGGGAGTAGAATGCTGCTGTTAGTCCCAGGAAGAAGTAATTGATGATAATAATGGTAGTGAGTGCAGCAACCATGGATTTTGTAGTGAAAATATGGTAAGGATTTTTTCTTTAGTCTTTTAATTGGCTGAACCTATCTGTTCAGGTGGAGTTTTTTGCCTTTTTTTTTTTTCCCCTCTAGTCTTGCCTGAGACTTGCAGTTCTGGCATGGTCTCAAGTGGAATTCCTAGCTTTCTAGGAAATATTGTTTCCAGTGGTGACTGATTTTATTCAAGTTATTTAGTCTTGAAATAGTTCAGGACTCAGAAACCAAAGATACCTTTGGTCTGTAGAGAAACTGTCCAAGCTCACGGTGCTAGAGAACATTCTTCATTCTTTTTTCAGCAATGGGTTTCTTGGAAACAACTGCTTTGTAGGCATTGTGCTGCTATGCCATATGGTGGCTGACAGTAGAATGCATTTTCAGGCTGCTAAATTTGAACTTGGAACAAAACTTCATCCAATGGTAAAATTGTGGCATCTTTAGGTAGAGTTTTTCAGGAAATGCTGAAGGTTGGTATCATTAAAAGGTGATACTGCAGTGGTTTCTCATATAGAGAAGATACAGTCAGCTCTTCATGTCTAAAATAACTTAAATAGAACTGGTAAGTTCTCATTCTGTAGAACTCTCATATCCATCCTGCAGCCAGCTTGAATCTCAATGGAAATACGTCCTTCACTGAAAAGAGTGCAACAAGAAGGATGTTATTGAGGTAGAATTGAACAAACATGCAATGTAGTCATGCTTTTATTTTTTTTTTTGTCCAGCTCATGAGAGTGAAATTGAGAGCAGTTTGGAGTGATCTTAAACTTTTTACTGTTCTACAGTTGGGCTGAAAGAAGCATGTGAGCTTTGGGGAAAAACAGATCAAAACCAAAAAAACCAGTTAGTGAATTACTGTCTCACTGCTGGCTTATTGCATAGCTCTCAGGCAGGCTGTGAGTTTGCATGTCGGGAGCGATTCTCCCAGGCCGCTGAGGAAACAGCCTGTGAAGTGCTGAGGAGAGGAGGAAGGGAACAGCTTTGAGGCCAGAGTGGTGGCACGTTTCTGGGTATGATGACGAGGAGTTTTTATTTCCTCTGTGGCACAGCTTTACGGTTAAACAGCTTCCTATCACCATCTAGTGTCTAGATTTAGCAATTGCACTTCGGGCGTAATTCAGTTTTAAAAACGGTTAGGGAGTGTTTTGATTTTCTGTGGGTTAATGATGGGACTAATGATGGTCGAGTGTTTATGGGTAAGAATCAGGGGGAAGGATAGCAAGGTGCAGGTGTCGTCGTGGGATTCTCTCACAGACCACCTAAGCAGGATGAAGAGGCAGATGAAATATTCTGTAGGCAGCTGGGAGAAGCCCCTCAGCCACTAGCCCTTATTCTTGTGGGGGACTTAAACTTACCAGCTATCTGCTGGAAATATGTACAGCAGAGAGGAAACAGTCCAGGAGGTTCCTGGAATGTCTGGAAGAGAACTTTTTGGCATAGCAGGTAAGGGAGCTAAATAGGAAAAGTGCCGCACTGGACCTGTTGTGTGTCAACAGAGAAGGACTTGGGGGTGATGTAATGGTTTGAGGCCATCTTGGGCACAGCAATCATGAAATAAAGAGTTTGCAGTTATCAGAAAAGAAAGGGGGGGGTGGTGGTCAGCAGAACTGATACCTTGGACTTCCAGAAGGCAGACTTTGGCCTATTTAGGAGCTTGGTTGACAGAGTCCTTTGGGAGGCAGTCTTGGAAAGCAATTGGGTCCAGGAAGGCTGGACATACTTCAAGAAGGAAATCTGAAAGGTGCAGGAGCAGGCTATCCCCATGTGCTAAAAGGTGAACTTGTGGGGAGGACGACCAGCCTAGCTGAACAGAGAGCTTTGGCTGGGACTTGAGGGAAAAAAAAGGAGAGTTTATGACCTTTGGAAGAAGGGGCAAGCAACTCAGGAGGACTACAAGGGTGTTGTGAGGTTTTGCAGGGAGAAAATGAGAAGGGCCAAAGCCCAACTAGAACTTAATCTGGCTACTGTAAAAGACAATAACATAAAAAAATCTTTCTGTAAATGCATTAGCAACAAAAGGAGGACTAAGGAGTATCTCCATCCTTTCTTGGATGTGGTCTTTTCCAACCTAAACTGTTCTAGGGTTCTATGACTTGCTTGTACAGTGTGAAACCACAGGTAGTAGAAACATTCTTAACTACTTCCGTACCCTGAGAACGTACTCTTGAGTCCTTATGTGGTAACACTAAATAGTGGCAGGGGGAGAATGAGAAACATTCCTAGTTAGAGTAGAAAATTGGTACTCTGCATATTTGAAATCATGGCTGTGCACTAAAGCCGTGCTCTTTACTGTGGAAACACAGTATGGAGCTTCCTTTGGTGATGGGGCACTTTGCCAGTTCTGCCTTCCTTCCACTGGACCCATCTCAGTTGTTCCAGCTACAGTTTTCCCTTTAGGATTGTTAAGAGGGGACCTCGCTTTCCTTCCTTATCAAGTGTGACCTTTGGCCTTGCCACCCTGCCCCTTTCTTTTGCATTATCATCAGGCTTGGGGTGCCACTGCACCTCTTCTCAGCTGCAGCTGAAGAGGTTGTAGACAATACTTGCCTTGGGTTGCCTGGCTCCTTATATGTTGCTTTATTTTCATTTTGGTGTGATGGCTGAGGTTTTTTTTTATACTCCATATTCTTAGGATGAGCTCTGTCACTCATGTCCATGTCCAGCTGCCTCAGCCCTTCTCAGTGCAGAGGTAAATGGAGACTCCCCTTCGAGAGGAAGACTGGCAAAAAAAAATCAAAGCAACTGGATTGTTACATTGTATTTTGTTTTTACATTTCTCTCTAAGCAGTAGTTGTTGTTCTCTGACTTGATTGTTTTTTGCCTGCGTGTGTAGTTTATCCAGCACTAAACCAGAATGATTTCAGAATAACAGATTTGTGGGTCCTAACAGGAATTGCATTTGTGTATTTTGTGAGTGACTGATTATTTAGAGAGATACTTTTCATAAAAGCTCTGTTTTGACCATTTTTTCTTCTACTAGCTATCTGCATTTTTTTCATACTTGTATGTTTTTTGTGCATTTAGTGCTCTAGGCCCTTGTTATCTTGTTACCATTCCCATCCATGTTGTTTTACCTCCTTGCCTGTATTTTGAAGGAGAACGCACTAAACTCCTACTTAGTTGGATGATCTTTGGGCTAAGTCTGGCATCAGGTTTAGGTATTTATATTTTCTGCTCTGCATATTTTGCACTTCTGGCTTGATCCAGAATCATTTACACACTGATCCAAATGTTGCAGCTTGGAGAGTAATCCTGGGACAGAATGATCTCTATATGCTGAGATTTTCAGGTTTTCACTGCTAGTTGAACATAAGACTTGACAACTTCTGTATTTAGGATTCCTAGGCCCCAGAACAATTGTTCTTCCTGTCTGTCTTAAGGTGTTCTGAAGACAGGCTGTTGGTGTTTGTTATTGGACTTAATGTTCCTCTTAGGTTTATGCTTTTTTGACTCATGTCATGTGTTGAGTCTTTCTGTTTTTCATCCCCATGCATCTGTTTTTCATTGTTGCTTTCTTTTTGATTTCATCTTGTCTTTCAAGTGTTGCTCATGAGTCACAGGAGAACCTATTCCTCAATGTCTGCTGCTTATGGTGCTGTTTGGATGCGGTTTGCTGGCTGCACTGTGTAGGTGACAGAGTTTCTTTCACAGTGTAGTGTTCATAATTTTTTTGTGAGGCTGTTAAATTGTCATTTATCATGACATGAACTGATGCTAGGTCACACAACAATAATTTTGTTCATTTATCTATACTACCATGGACATGTTGAAATAATGCACTTCTAGGTCCTGCTGTCGTAATGATTTGCCCACTTTGCTTTTAGTCTTTGTTGGTAATTGAGTTTACAATTCCTATGTTGTTCTTTTGTTGTTGTGTTTTGTTTTCTTTCTTTAAAAAGGATAAAAAGCATTTGATATGAGTTTGAAAATAACTTCTCAATGTTAGTAATAAGTACGTTAATTTTCTGGAAAGCTAGGAGTTTTCAAACCCTTAGCAAATCTTTAGATACCGAGTCTTTGCACACAGAATCACTTGAAATCACTTGATACCCAATAGGAATGGCATTAAGAATTTGAGAAGCTCTGAGATGAAATCCTTCAATGTGAAGTGAATGTGTGTATTTGAAGAGGGCAGCTTACTTTTGCATCTTCTGGAGGATGCTGGGGAATGTTGGGTTTTGTGTGGGATGCTAAGGGTGTTTTGACTACTGCACTGACTGATTCAGTATCTTTTGGAAGCAAAAGCTTCATTTGTAGGAGTTTACTATATCCATGTGGTGTTTGCATGGTGTGTATGTGGCCTGGATCAATGAATATTGTAGCAAAGTTCTATTTTCTTTGAAGTTATGCGTATGGTAAGAGTAACTCACAGTCTTATTTACTGTGTATCATCCCCTCATGACACTTTAGGAACAACAAACTTTTCAGTGTGTGTTACGGTTTTTAGAAGTTAGAGGTGTCTTCCATCTTTAGGGACCAGGTTTTCTATTAGTAAGTGGCTGGAATATGCATCTTTAGTACACCTTTTCCCTAACAGCATTTTCCTTCAGTAAAGGCATATGTAAGTGCTGCTCGCACAGCCAAGAGGCTGCAACTAAATTTATTTACATTTGAGGAGAAACGTAGCAGAAGTAGAGGAACAGGGTTTGATTTTTAACCTCTGAGAGTAAATGTTTTCTGTTTGTCAGTAGAAAGGAGCCCTGTGGTTTTGTTAGCTTACTACTTTTCAGAAAGAACCAGAGTTTCATATTTGGCTTACAAACCTAGACCCTCTTTCTTGCGAGTGATCAGCATTTTGCAAACATAAGAGTTAAAACATGTGTTGGTAGGTTATTGTTTAAAATACCGTGTCTCAAACTTTTAACCAAAACCTGAAATCTTCCGGCATATAAGTGACTCTTAACTGTTAGATCTAAGTCCACCTTTAGCAGTTGCTTTTTTTAGGTGGGCATTGGTGCTCGGAGGAAGCTCGTCGGGAGTCATCTCTGTGCTGCTTCTGATGGTCGGAAGCTCGTTGGGAGTCATCTCTGTGCTGCTTCTGACGGTCACACAAGAACTGTTCTTGGAAGCCTTTTTGTTAAGGAAACCAGTTTGGTGTTTTTCGAGAACAGCTTTTTGCAGTGACAGTGAGGGTTGTTGCATCACGCAGCAGTATTGACTAAGTCGTAATTCTGCTTTAATAAGTTGGAATGATTGTTCGAGGGTAGAGGTTATAAACTACAAATGAGTGAGCTCTGGAGAGTGATGTGGTTCGTAAGCCCATCTCTTTGCTCAGCAGTGGAACCACTGGGGAGCACTTGGTTTGCAATAGGGCAGAATTACCACAAGAGGGAGATGCTGGCTTGGATTTTTAACTTGGCAGCTCCATCTAGTGTTCACCTTTTCTGAGTTTACGGTTTTCTGAGTTTACAGTTATATTTACAGCAGAATTAAATATTCAGTGTTTCTCCGAGTAGTTTTCTTCTATGTTGTTAGTAGGCAGTGTTTTTTAGAAAGTAGATATAGATATAGATAGTTAACTGGTTTTGAAAGGCAAATAGAACACCTTCAGTGTAAGTGCTGTCACTTGTCACAATCTATGTTAGTTATGCTCTGAGATGGTAAGCATACATTTAAATCTTTAACTTGCACAAAAACTTCTGCAACTAGCCAGCTCCCGTGTATACACTGAAAGTTGATGAAACTGTATTCACAAATGTGGTTTTTTTAATTTTTTTAATGAAAGACTTACTTATATTTATGCCAGTTTAAGTTGATAGAGCCTCTGTTGTAAAACAGATGCACTCACTGCTATGTGTCAAATTTGGGTTAGGGATTGGGCAACCATAACTTGTCCGTGGGTGACGTTTATTACATTAAAAGTTTACTTTTGTGCTCTGGGTGTAAAGTAAGGCACCTTCACTGGAGTGCACAGATCTGAAAGACTTCTGGGTTTGGTTCTTCTTGTGGCAGAACTTGATGCTCCTGAGGGTCTCTGGGGCTTTATCCATCTTAGACTTCAGATTATGTAATTTTTCTGAGGTTGGTGACCATTTCTAGGAAATTCTGGACTTTTAGAGGCCCATGAGTGAATCTGAGTGGACTGCATGTTTTAACAGCATGAAAGCCTATATTTTTTCCAGCTTTCTAATCTGCAGGGTAATAATTACTCCAGTCAAGGCACTGTGGAAATTCCATGACAGCAGATCAGTGCATATATTTTGATGTTCTTGTTTTGGGTTGCAGATAGAAATCAGTGCAATAGTCTACTTGCATTTTGTGTTGAGGGTTATGATTTCAAACATAGAAGACAAGACACTGACTTAAATACAGGTCCAGATTCTCAAGCACAAAATGACAGCCGACAGAAGGAAGTGCTGCTTGCCAGGTTGGGGCTGGTTGCTTAGCAATGAGCTATTTATCTGGAAAGGGACTCAGAAGAGTGATCAGGGTGGTTTGAAAACGTAGTTTGAGTAAAGGAGCTTTTAAAGTCAGCCTTGTTTAACAATTTTTTTCTAGAGTTTGAAATGACGAGACTCTGCAGAGACTCCGAGTTACTTATTTGTTTATTTTAACTGAGTTTGGCATGATTATTTAAGGCCTTTACTTTTAAAGTAGCCACCAAGCAGGCTGTACCACTAAGTGTGCAAGTCAGTAAGACTTGATAAGCTGATGTTGTTGGTGTACCAGGTTGAAGTAAGGTTGGTGATCCTTTAGTAAACCCTGCAGTATTCAGATACAGAGAAACACAGGGGTTTGTCCATCACATGGGTGCCTGATGAGTTCCTGTGTGAAATTTATTTCTCTTCCAGCTTCTGTTTATCTTGAATATTGACACAGTTTGTCATACTGTAATATTATGTGCTGTCTTGACTATTTTGAGACACTGTAAGGATCCAAATATGCTACAGGCTGTATTGAAGATTTCATAAACAGAGTTAAAGCTTAATGTCAGACTGTGATTTTGGACAGGAGCTGAGTCCAGAGTGAGATGAGCTGATCAAGGAAAGGATTCATGTAAATTGTGGGACTTTGCATGGTTAGCTGTGCCCTTCTGTGAAAAGTGCTCTTCAGATAGTCAGGATTTACTCAGGGTGGGTTGCAGGTGTCTCTAACCTGTATCTGTCTCTCTTCTGTAGCACTTGTTACTGTAGTAGGTGCTTAAGATCATGTGCTAATTGAGCAGCCATGCTCTACATGACTTCTCTCTCAATGAGTGATTGCAGTCTTGTTAATAGTTCAAATTTCAGGTGGTCTTTGTATTCCAGAAACTTGAGAAAGATGAGTCAGCAATACAGTTTTATGTTTCAACTAAATAGTATGTGCTGTGCAGTCACTGCAGTGAAAACCACGCTGGCTGAATCAGCTAAAGGTAAAGTCAGCCAGAAAAACAGTTGCAATCAATTTCTTTTTCCTTTTGACTTGCAAATACTGTCTTTAGTTGATGATTGATTGTTTAAAAAAGGTGTCACTCAGAATGGTGCTCCAGCTCAAGCAGAACCCTGTTTTGCTGTCGATGTGCTAAATTTGAAGTGCCAACTACTATTCCATGTTTACTTCCCAGGTGGGTTTTCAAGCAACTGTATGACAAAGGACTGGTGTATAGAGGTGTCAAGGTCATGCCTTTTTCAACTGCATGTAACACCCCACTGTCAAACTTTGAGTCCCATCAGAATTACAAGGTAAGTCAGTATATGCATACGTTATATGTTGCAGTCAGATTTCTCTATTGTCTTCAGTTTGGATTTGGAAAACTAGTATTCTTTTGCTTGGTGGTACATAAGTATTTTATTGCACTCCCAATTGATAGTAAAAAATCAGGTAAATGAGTTACTTCTAATTATATTTTGCTGTATTTATTTGGATCACTTGATCTTAGCCTTCTTCGCCATTCTTGGTTACTACTTACAGATCTATGAAGTACATACTTTGTTTTATTCTGGTAAATTACTCTCACTTCTTTTCTGGGCTCTCAGGATGTGTTGGGTTTTTATGGTAGATACTTGGAGGAGAGCTGCAGCTGTCCCTGTCTCTGCAGATCTGAAAAAAAGGAAGGTCCTTGACAGAGTTGAAATCTGTTGTGAGGGGAATTAATGGGAATTGTCAAAGGCTGTTTTTGGTTGTAGAGCATTAGGCTAACAGCTCTTCAGAGAATCATTAATTCAGATTGAGAAATTCCAGGAAATGTTTTACCTATATAATGCATGGTATGCTCTCTTTTAAAGATGTTCCTTTAAAGTGAATGACTAGAAACAGTAGGAAATAGATGTATGTTCACATATGTGAGGGCAGAACTTGTGTCCCAGTTTTCCAAATTTCATGCTAGCTTTGTGGACAGAGGTTTTGTTTCCTTTCCAATCCCCACCTAGGTCTATCGTTACATGGTAGATGTTTCACTTAGGTTGTAACTGTAGAGAGCTAGCACAAATTCTACATCTGGTCATTTTCACATCTTGCCTAAAAAAGGCCAATTTGGCCAAAAATAGCATTTAGGAAAAAGGTTTCGATAGACTTGTAGTACATTGCAGCCTGCAGATACTGGAGCTTTCCATATTGCTGAGGGGTTGTTAGACCCTGCTGAAAAATAAAGGTTTTGTGATTTAAGAAAGTGCAACCTGCAATGATTTCTTGATGTTTGTGACTGACAACCGAAGTAATTACTTTGTTTGCACTTACTGACACTTCATACAGGCTCAGATTCATGAGCTTTCTTTAGAACAAAAACTATTTTGGGGATTTTTTTTTTTTGGTGTGTATGCCCCTTTTCTATAGAGCAAAGCTCTTTTCTTCAGACTTAATGAAATTCTTAGATGCCATTTCTTACTTTAAACCAGTAGTGTGTGTGTGGGGTGTGTGCTGCTCTGTCACTTCATGCAAAAATTATCTTCTTTGTCTGCTAGAGGTGGTATTTTTAAGGCTGAAATGTTATAGGTCCATAAGCTGACATGATTTATTCTTGGCGAGACCAGTCATTTCTGGGTGTAAGGCAGCTGTTATCTTTCTCACTGTGGGAAACAGGCTTTGGCTTCTATTTATCCATCCTGGGAGAGTTGGGACACAAATCATGAGAAATAACAGGACATGAGAGGCAAGTTGAGAAACTGAGCTAGGCATCTAATGTACGCTTGAGTCAACTATGTCAGTAGCTTCTATTAGATTTAACAGAAGTGCTTTGGATGAAAGCAGGTATAATTTTGTGCAGATTAAAACATTATACAATGCCATTTACTTGGCTGCCTGGATGTTATCTTGTTATGGCTTGCCAGTTGTTGGTATCTATGTGGTCAACTTAGTGCTTCAGAAAAATGAAGTGAATAGCTTACGGTGTCATTTAACAATTGGTAGAGACAGAACTGTAGTGATAGCTCCATCTTTACTTGGTATTGAGGGTGGTTTGAGAGTTCTGCAAGATTTATGTTTTATTGTTGACTGCACCAGATGTTCACAGAAAATTCCCTCTGGAGCAGTCCTTAGCTCAGACATAAATAGCTGCCTGTCCCATGATGCTGTTAACTGTTCCATGGGAAACCAGAGAACCTTGCTGTAGACATAATGAGGGTATAGGACGTATTTGTGTTTTTAGGGTCTGTGGACCTCGCACCTGTTTTTGTTTGGCTTTTAAAATTAATAATGAATTCAAAATGAATAATTTCATACTTGCAAGATTAGACTTGCTTCTCCAAGTTGTTTTTCAGCTTGTTTGTGAAATGTGAAGTGACTGAACAGGATTGTAGTTGTCTGAAAGAAAAGCTTTGTTTTCAGGGGATTCTTTTGACTCACTTGAAGGCAAAATTTTGTATAGTATATGGCAAAGGTCTCCTTCCCTGAGAATTTTTTTTTAACCTTTAAATATTTACTCAAATATTAATTAATACCCTTAAATACCATAAATAAATATACTCTTAAATACACTTAGATATCTTTATCCTTAAACAGCTTCCTAATAAGAGATTGCATCTTCTTAAATGACAGTCATTTTTCTTACTCCCTGGCTTTATAGGAAGAGGTAGGAGAAGGCTTTGTGTAGCAGTATCTGAGAAACTGCTGATTTTTCTTGACAGTTGAGATTGCTTATAAACTTTTCAAATGGGATTATAAGAGTTCCTGAGGGAACTGACACTCAGCTCTCTGGTGTTCTGGCAGCTAATTCCCAAAATCTCAGTGCTAATCTGAATTTTTAACTCTGTGGCCTTGTTGGACTGGCAGTTTGTGCTGATATAATAGAGGTGTGTTGGGACTCATGTTCTCTTCAAACTTTGTTATGCTGCTGCTTTACCTTCTACCACTACAGTGATGAACTAGGCCAGTTGCAAGATGGATTTTGGTGGATAGCAGTAAGAGTTACTGCTTCTTAGATTTATATTTTCTCACTGGTGCACAAAGTAAATTCACATCCCTGCTGCCCCCTTTTGACTTTATCTTGTTTTTAAGGACGTTCAAGATCCTGCAGTGACTGTGAGCTTCCCACTGGATGAAGATGCAAATGTTTCTCTTGTTGCTTGGACCACTACTCCTTGGACCTTGCCTAGTAACCTGGCCCTTTGCGTTAATCCGGAATTGCAGTATGTTAAGTTGAGAGGCAAGTGTTAACTGAAGGTGACATACAGTGAACATTTCTTTCTTCAATGCCTGTGAATATGTACTTACATTTTGTATTATAGGCTGTTTTATGCTGAATTTATAGTGCTTTGCTGGGGTTAGATCAGGGTTATTTTTGAGGATGAGATTTTTCTTCCGATGTGGCTAATGATTTTTGACTGTTGTGCTCTTTTTATTTTGCATGCATTGTGAGAACTGTTCCCCTGAGATACATTTATAGTTGAAATAAAGTGGAAGAGCAAATATTTTCTCTGTTGTATTAAAGTAACACTATATTTAAGACACAGGGAAGTGTGACTGGGTGTCCCCAGCTTTTTTCTTCCCTCCTTTCTTAGGGCTCAGACTCATGAACAAGTTACTGCTATAAGACTGCTAAGTTGCAGTAAGTGAATGTCTCTGCACTCTTAACCCATAACATACTCAAGATGTCAGGTCCTACTCTGATGTTTTTAGCACAAATGTAAGCCAAGATATATACCCTGAGTTGCAGTGTAACACTACATTTGACCATGTGCCTCGGCTTACTCATGGACAAGTTGTTGTGCCTGGCTAAACAAGTTGTACTACAAGGTAATCTCTTTGATGAGAGCACCAGCACTTCAGGAATTGTATGCAACAGACCATGTAGGATGCGTAAACAGTATAGGCTGTTGCTTTTCTTGTTACTGCTTCAAGGTGTGTGCTGGGGTTTGCAGTTCCATATTTATTTATTTATTTATTTATTTATTTATTTTTCAGTTGGCAAGGGAGTATGTTAGGATGTGTCTTCCTTTTCACTTAGGAATTTATTTTATCCTGGAAATGCAGTTGTCATCTAAAAGACCTTCACCCCCCCAAAAAAAAGTAATCATGAATTTGCATGAAAGTACTTCTTGCACTCCTGTTTTCAGGTTCTCCCAAACTGCTCACCTTTTCTTACTTTTTAGTGTACATTTTCTTTGTTTTAAAAGAAGAGAGGTGGGGGAAAACTATGTAAGCTAATGATGGCATTTAGTCTGGAGTAAAAGAATGCCAATCCAGTTCCAGCATAACCCCATGAATCTAATGTGTGTCAAAGGTATTGTTAAACAAAAGTTGCAGAGGACTTTACAGTGAACTCTCTCTGTTTGGGTTTTCTTTGTTTTAAGAGAAAAGTAAATATGTTTTGGTTTTCAGAGGTGTTAACATAAATGTGCTCACCTCGAAGAGTTACTGGGATACTTTCAGAATTAACACCTACACATGTCTCAGATGCTGAGTTCTTGGGTTGGATGTCTTTGGCCTGCAGACTACTGGTGGTATAGAGACCCTGAATAATTTGGGAGGGTAGTAGTCCGAATGAAACTTCTTATTGAAGTTAAGGGTTTAGGGTTGTTTGGGGGTAGAAAACAGGTTTCCTTTGTAACATTTCACTTTTTATTTGTATTCACTTCCTTTAAAAAGAAATCCAGCATAAAATCGATCGGAATAGTAAATCTTAGAAAGGCAGCATAAAGTGCACTCATAACCCCTGATGTCAACTTCATAATCTTGATTTTATGTGTAAATTGTTTGTCTTCCAGTTGCTTCCCTCTGTTTCAGTTACATACACTGAAATTTTTCAATTGCTTTTCATTGGCACAGTGATAATAAGCAAGGTAGTGTATTTCTGCCTCTTGAACAAAAAAGCACACTGAAAATCAGTGCCCTGGGTTTCATCCTGCGGTTTCTGTTCAAACTTAACTTTTGAAAAGTGTTCGTTAAGTGGCTGTATGGGGAAGAAGCAGCTGGAAACTAGTTGTCGATCAGCAGGATTATTCTCTTAGTTTTATAGCTAATATGATACCATCTTGCATAAATTGAAAGGTTTCATAATGGTGCAAATGAGGATTTTAAATTGAGATTTATGTAACTTTTTGTTTTATTTTATATTCTAGATAGTGCCACGGGAAAGATCTACGTTTTGATGGAATCCAGGCTGATAGCACTGTACAAATCTGACAGTGAATATGAGATACTTGACAGGCAAGTACATAGAATTATTGCACACTTGTTAACTTCCAGTATTTTTATAGATCACAAGTTAAACCTTTCAAGAAGTTGGTTTTTGCAGTTATGTAAAGATGGATTTCCCTGCATACGTGTGTATCTTGCAAAAATCTATAAATGAAATGGAAATTTACCAGAACAAATTGGTCTTGCACATGAAGCTACAAATAGAATAAAAGTTTCATTGGTTCGTTATATTTCTGTGAGAGGTGGGAAGGTTCCTTAGTCCTTTTCCTGTGTGTGTTCATAGAAAGAGATTAGCTTAAAAGTCTCAAAAAAAATCCTGGAGATTGCCCAAGTGCTGAATGCTTTCTAAACATTACCTAAATATTTAACGGGAAATGGGCAAAAGCAAAACTATTGTCTTTAGGGAGCAAATACTGCTTCTGTAGGGTGTTCTACCGAAGTTATGTAGTTAGTGGCAGTTAATGCTTTCTGAAGACTGCTTATTCATCTTGGTTCAGTGGAAAAATAGGAATTGTTTAGTAAGTCATTAAATTCTCTAGCTTGGCTTCTCCTAATTTTTTTGTGTAAGGCATCAGTCTGTTAATGAGGTGAAATACAGCAAATACATATTTTTTTTACTTCATTCAGTCTTGTGTAGTGGGTAAAAAAACAACCAAACCTAACGAAAACCCCACACCACACAAAACCATAATAATAAAAAAGCAAAGACTAAAATTTCTTTTGAGAACAACCACTCTTCTTCGTTGCCATCACTTTTATTTTTATCTTTTTTATTTTTACCAAGCAGTTGAAAGCCTAAAAAAATAATAATAAAAAAATTTAGAAAGGAGGATACATCTTATTTCGGCTAAGCAATTACATGTAGTCATTGAATTAGGGGGATATAGAGCTGGAATGTTTGCTTAAGATGTCTACTTTGATGCCTCATACTGTGACAGTTGAGTAATTCTTAGTTTGTATTTCTGCACTGATTTCCCCTCCTCTCCCCCAGCTGAATTCTCTTCATCTGTCACTTACTCTGTTATCAATTTAAGCTGGTGCTCAGTTTATAAAGATGATTTTCAGTGCTCTCATTCTTCAGGGTTGACAGAACTTCTGATCTCCAGATTTTTTTCCTCCTTCAGAGCCATCAGTAAAACCATTGAATGGTGTCAGCGTTATGATAGTCCCTGCCAGGATGCCACTTGAAATTTTCTTTCAGTGTGATACTGAATTAACAATAACTCTTTTCTCAAAGTGGTTGTGCATCCATGTAAACGTACAGTCACCCAGTTAAAATATTTGTGTGTGCCAGAATGAGATGTCAAAGAGTCTGAAGTCTTACTATAACAGTAAGACTAAAATCTGTCTGCTTGCTTCTTATCTAAGCTAGTTAGTCTGCCTAAAAAGAAGTAATTTGTCTTGGTGTGGCTTGTTCTTGACAAATTCATATTGTATGTTCTTTAGCACTTCACTTAAAAACTGTTTCATCACTTAAAGTTGAATCAGGTTGTTAACTTGTCCGACAGGTTTTTAGGTCTAGTAGTACTTAATTTCTCACTGGAAGTATAGATACTGTGTTATGTCCCTTTCCAGTCTTTTGAAACCTATTCAGAGTGTCTGAAAACTAAACCTTCTACCAAACCCACTCGATTTTCTTAAATTTTTTTGAATGTCTTTCCTTTAGACTTGGAAAAAATTAAGAAAGGTAGAGGTATTAAACCTGTTTATGTCTTTTTTTGGTTCCAAATTCCTTTAGAGGAGTACAGATTTTAATTTCAATCTTGGTTGCAGTCATTCTCTATCCAGGAATGCACTGAACATTTTGCCTTTTATTGGTGTGGTGTTTTTGTCAGCACTGTGAAGTACCTGCTCTTAAGACAGTCATACACTGGTTTCAATTGTTGCTTATGTCCCTGCCTAGTCATATTTTTGATCCTCTCCTCCCCTGCAATATGTGATTTGGGTTTTTTTACCTTTCTGTGCCTATACCTAAGTCTGCTAGCAATTTTTATTCTCCTTGCAGAAAGGTGTATGTTTCTTCTTTCTTGTATTAGTGCTGCAGTCTTGCGAAGCTGATAAATTTTTTTGGTCATGCTCCAATTTTTCTTTTATGTAGTAAATTAGTTCTCTCAAATGTGAACTGTGTGAGACAGTTAAGTGGTGGCTGATAGGTAAATGGATCTTTTAAAGATTTAGATCTTTTTTAATAGAAGTTCATGGAAATGAACTTTCCTATTTCCACCCTTAACTTTCTTCTTTCTTTGGCTCACGTTTGAATTGTCAGGCAGAAAATTCATGGCAGTTGCTTTATACCAGGTGCCAGGCTGAGGTCAAGGAATGATCTCAGTGAAAATTTTGTGTGTCTGAGGTCATCTGAACTTCCTGAGTACTCTCAGCCTTCCCACCCTGCCTCAAATCTGACTTTTCTCTCCCTTCTTCTCCCAGGTGTAGATGGTAAGTTTCTGTGTGAGAGCAGATGAGAATACTTCCATGTTTACCTGATGCGATGGCTACCATCTTTATCAGAATACTTCTGGTTACTTTGCAGAATGATTGGTCTTGGTACATTACCCTATTTTTGGCCTTTTGAATGGCTTCTTGTTTTATTATAGCAGTGATAGATATGAAATGACTGAGCATTTTCCTCCTTCTGTGTTACATTTCAGTCTGTTGGCATATTAAACACTTTGTCTGTTTTTTTTCCCCATTATTTTCTCATTTTGGATTCTTGAGAATCCAGAAAAGAGATACCTGATCTCTTGAGAGTGAAGGATTACTATAGTGACTTCAAATGAGTCTGTTATCCCTAGAACTTAGGTCAGAAGAAGGCAGCATAAATTTTCAGTTTGAAGTTCAGGACTTCGATAAACGAAGTATTTCAGATCTCAAGAGAGAAAAAGTGACCCACAACCCTTACCTTTCACTGACTTCAGTAGAATTTAACTACTTTTTTAGAGGCCTGTTCTAGTGCCTCATGTTCAGTGTCTGAGCATTCCCACATCTGTACGGCTGAATATTGGGATGCCTTTCTCTCATCTGATCCTGATTAAGCACCTCAAACATTCTTAAGGCTGTTTGTAATATAAAACATATAAACCATCCACAAATCTGTGGCTTAAAATAGAAATCTTCCCTTTACCTAGTGGATATTATGTATGGTGAGCTGAGGAGTAGTGCTCTTTAACTAAGCATTAAATGCTGCTTGAGTTAATTTCTGTGCAATGAAACAGCTTTGTTCCTTAGCCAAGTGTTTTATGGATTGACCATTGCTTTAGAAGACTAGACTTTTTCTTGAAAGAGATTTAAGTACTTTCCAACAGAGTTCTGAGCAGTAAATCCCAACCTAATCACCATCTTTGTCAACTATTGTCAGAAGTCTGAGAGAGAGCCAGATCTACAGGCTCTATCTAACTTTTCTTGTGAGGCTCAGTTGGTTCCTCAGTTAGTCCTGTCTGTTTTGGATCTTTGTCTGAGATGCCTGTGGAGAGTTTGGATGCCTAGTTTTAGAATAAGGAGTGAGGTATCCAAGCTTTAAATGCTGCAATACCCTGTATCACAATTTCTGTGCATATAACTTTTAGGTGTTTTGGATCTGTGCTTATTTAGTTCTGTTGAACATGCTGAGCTCTAGGGCTTTGTTGTTATGAATATTAAATTGAAATTGTGTTTTATCCAGCAGCTTCTTGCCCAGCTTTACCTGAAAGAGGTGGTTAGTGATTAATTGCTTCATTAATTCACAATGGTTGCTTGATTGCAAGACCATCAGGTACAAGCATACTTGTTGACTGTTAACAGAGATGCATTAAGACATTATGTTTTTTGTCCAAGTCCAAATTGCCAAAGAGGTGTAGAAATGGGAAGGAAACTGTTGAGGAAATGCTCC